AGAGCTAGAATTCTGTCTGTGTTCTAACTCCTGTCCTCTGAAGATGCCAGGCACAGAGACTGGTAAAACGTTAGGGGGGAAAAACCCTCCAGAACACAGCTAAACAGCTCAAAAAACCCACAACAACCATCAGATCCCGGCCATGAAAGCTTTCAACATACCGGTATATATATTAGAAAGTTTGGGTGCTGATATATTCACAGATTTACTGGGAAGCCGGAGGGCCTGGTCACACAGCCGAAAAAGCTGGGATCTGAGCAGCATTAAAAACCATGCTGAGGTTCATGTTCACACAATAAAACACAAAGTCCATATTTGTTTTCTCCTGACTTGTTTTATTTTCTTACGAAGTGAGTTAAAATAAATGGCCACCAGAGGACCATTTATTTTAACACACTATTTTCTTGACTTAAACCCACTGTGAACTGTACAGCTGGTTTTAAAAGGGAGCCTCTGCATACGTATCCAGTTTAAGAACATGAAATGAAAATATGTAGCTTCCCAAAATGGTACATTAACAGAACAAGATACACATTTTAATTGCTCAGTAGGAATGCAGGGAATGACTCAAAATCAAGTGTCTTGTGTTGGCTAAAATTAAAATGCTACATGGGGGGGGGGTTCAAGAAATTTAGATGGGCCCTCAGCTGAAACTTTTCAAAATGGAAAAGACCAAAGGCAAACTCCTGTCTGAAACTCAGGGGTACAATAAGGGTACAAGAAAAGTAGAAGGAAAGAAGTGTAATAAACCACCTTCCTCTCTCTTAGCTCTCCGCATCTGAAGAGCTGCAGTTTGAAGAAAAATAATATTTTCTACCTGTGCAACACTTCCATGTGATTAAAAAACCTGGATTTTGGAAGATCCAATTATGTGAACAGCATTTATGCTTCCACTTTCAAACTGCATGTGAGTGAAGGATGTGAGGCTAAAATACTCATGTTTATGTTTACAATTTGATTGAACAATTGAGTAGAATAACAAAATTACAGAATGAAAAAGGGGAGTATCATTTTAAACCAAATTACAGGTTTCTTCACAAACTGAAAGTATTCCCAGACTACAGAGGGGGGAATTGCTGCTTTCCACCTCTTCCAGTCCTGCTAGCTGATAGCAATACAACCCACCAATTCTAATATAATTCACACACTCATATACACAGACCAGAGGGAAGAATAACAACTAAGCAGTTGCATAACAGGGGAAAACATCAGAAGAGAGTAATTGTGTTGCATAAAAAAGAAAAGGCTTTTACCCCTCTCCGTGAGAGTTTCAGGCCACCAAAGTCCAGAAAGAACTTTTTAAGTAGCACAAAAAATAAACACAAGCTATTAAGAAATATGTTTGGGTAATCATAACTGAATGGCTGAAATACCATTGTGTAATCCCATTGTGCAAATTATGCCACATAATGCTGATCAACTGCAGCAATTTTTGGAAATAAAAATTTCCATTTACCACACAGAAGATCCTGAGGCTCCTGTGGAGTCACTGTCATTATCAGGAAGCTATAATGGTAATTATTTTTTTAAAGCATTAATGACATTAACATTAATTACTTGATTGAGGAGGCAAAGGGAATGTTTATCAAACTTGCAGATTAATATCAAGAGAAAAAGACTGAGGGGGGAATATGATACCGTGTTTCCC